ATGAGGTATTTTATTATCTAGAACCGAAGATGGCATGCGATTAACAAGATAACATGCAGTAAGAAGAGCATCACCCAAAAAATGTTAAGGAACCTCTCCATGAATTAAAAGAGTGCGAGTTGTTTCAATAAGATGTCTATTTTTACGTTCAGCTACACCATTTTGTTGAGATGTATAAGCACAATAAGTTTGCTGCAAAATACCATGAGAAACCATGAATTGTTTAAAAGAATGAGAAAAATATTCACGACCATTATCACTGCGCAAAACTCTAATAGAAACACCGAACTGAGTTTGAATTTCATTGAAAAAGTTTGAAAGATATGAAATAATTCAGAACGATTTTTCATCAAAAATAACCAAGTGCATCTGAAATAATCATCAATGAAAGTAACAAAGTATTGAAAACCTAAAGTAGACTTAACGCGGCTAGGTCCCCAAATGTCAGAGTGAACCATGGCAAAAGGGGACGAAGCACCACGTGTGACACTACGAGGAAAGGAAGTACGACTATGCTTGCCTAATTGACACGACTCACATGCCAAACTAGACAATTTAGATAAGACAGGGACAAGTTGCTGTAACTTGGCAAGACTTGGATGACCTAACTGAGCATGGAGAAGAGAGGGAAACTCTATAACTGTACCAACATGTGTAAAGGGACAAAGATGATAAAGACCATGAGACTCACATCCTCACCTGTTTCGAACTCCGGTCCTGTAAACACACAGAATTGTTGGTAAAAGAAACAACACAATCAAGAGAACGAGTTAGACGAATGATGGATAACAGGTTAAAAGGAGACTCAGGGACATAAAGAACATTATCAATGGTTAAAGAAGGGAAAATTTTAACAGTTCCAACACCATGAGATGATACTCTAGAGTCATCAGCTAGTGTAACAAAAGGTAAAGGATCAGGAGAGGATAAAGAGGAGAAAAAAGATTTGTTACCAGTAATATGATCAGTGACTCCTGAATCAAAAATCCAAGGACCAGAAGAAGATTGGGTCAGACCAGCAAAAAATGTACCTGTGTGTGCGACAGATACAGTGGAACTAGAAGACTGTTGATCCTTATACCATTTGAGATATTTGTTGAACATAGCAGGTGTGTCTGATGAAATAGAAGAAGGAGGATCCTTAGCAGATAAAGGTGGTAAAAGATAAGTCTGAGCAACTGTAGTAGATTGAGTAGGACGACCATGTAATGCATAACACTTGTCAATCTTGTGACCTAGTTTGCCACAATGTTCACACTCATGTAATGCATAACACTGGTCAATCTTGTGACCTAGCTTGCCACAATGTTCACACTTAGGACGCCCTTTTCCCTGTTTGCGAGGACAAGTTCGATCATCACGGTGAGATACCAATGCAGAAGAATCATTAACAGAAGCAGGTGTGTCAGGGTTGGGTTTTGTTGGTATACGCAAAAGAGTGGAACAGGTCGATGTCAAGGTGGGGACAACCGGAAACCCAAAATCTGATCACGAATATGTGAATATTGATCAGCAAGTCCGTGTAATGCGCCTAGCATGAAGAACTTTGATCGTTGTCCTATCTCGGTAGGCGTGGTCTGGGAAGGAGACAATAACTCATTGAACTCATAAAAAAGAGCATGAATTTTGCCCATATAATCAGTCATAAAATCTTGATGTTTAGAGGCAATAACATCTACAAATTTAGAACAGACATCATAGAGACGTTGAGTATCATTGGTGTATAATAACTTGGCATGTTCCTAGATTTTGGCACATGTTTCGTAGGAACGAAAAATTTGTTTTAACGAAGGATCAAGAGTACCCTTGAGAACCACGCATAATTGAGCATCAATGGTGTCCCAATGGTCTTCCTCACCAGGAGTGAGAGTAGGTGCTTTCGGGGCAAGATGATCAAGATACTTCTGACTCTTAAGCCATAATCTGACGTCTGATGACCATGTGGCATAATTAAGGTCGGTTAACTTGTCAATGGATAAGTGCACATTAACATAGTTAGTGTAGATGGAATGATCGACGCAATGATCGACATAATTGGAAGTACTAAAAGGAGCTGAAGAACTCATAAAGGGCGGAGGCGATATTGACGAATGGCGTGAACCAAGTACACCGGTAAGTTCCCAGGAAAGAGAGGTGGATCACTAATGGACACGCTTAAATACCAAGTCTTTCCTTGTCAGAACTTTCCTAGACATGCACTTTCACACTACCAAATAACCGACAGCGATAGCGGCGGTGGTGGCGGCTTCAATAGTGGTCAAAGGCGAAAAAAAAAATCAAAATAACCTTAAGCTCTAGATACCATGTTAAGGTTCTAACATAAAACCAATTGGCAATATGTGGAGTAGCCTAACATGTATTTAAACCATACCAAATGACATGAGGTAGGCGATGTGAGACTTTCAACACACCCCCTCCAACGAAGCTTGCCGACCAGGCAAAGGGTACTTTTGACCCAACTAAAGGACAACTTTTGGCCCATGACAATAACCGGGAAAGATATTAGGCTTTGGCTCTGATACCATGTTGAATATAGAAGAAATAGAGTTTGAGATTAATCTTCCTTGTGTATAGATCACACATAAGGTAATCTATTTATAGTAGAGAGATACAACTAAAAGAATGAATCGAAAGTAACAGAATAAACAGAATATATTGTTTGATATTATGGTTAATATCTAACAATATCTTAACAATATTAAATAATATCTAAACAATATCTAACAATAATATTTTCAAATATAATATATTAAATTATATTTTTTTAATAATTTATATTTTTTACAAATCATTTTTTTTTCATCAAATTTTAATTTATTATTTTAATTTTAATTCAGTATTTTTAATTTAGTATTTAGTTTTAATCCAAAACTTAAACAAACCACTTAAAATAATCATCAAATATTAAAATTAGCTTTTATACTAAAATTACATATTGTCAAAAGTTGAAAAAAAAATTATCATTTCGAAAATAAAAAGATGAAAGACGAATTTGAATTTTTGTACAATATATTTTTCCTTAAATTGTATTTGAATTGTTACGTGGGCACAAAATAGTATCATGTGGTCATAGGAATAATTAATAGAGGAAACTCATTTTGACTGAAATGCATTTTTTTAGGCACGTAGCTTGTGTGACCACAATTACAAAACTTATTATTTTAAATAAATTGACTTTCATCACTTGTATTTTTACTTACAAACTAAATTTAATTACTTTCCATTTAATAATTTTAAAAGTGTTACACTTGTTAGGTCTACACATTGATTTTTCACCATAATTTTTTCTTCAAAAGTTTTATTTTATTAACATTCTAAATGAAATTTACAAGGTTATTATAAAAGTGAAAAAAGACCAAATTAATATTGAGATCATTATCACTTCACGCTTTGTTTTCTACAGTACTTCGTCACTTATTGCAAGAGATTTAAGTTTGGAATTGAAGTAAGATATCATGATATATATGTTGATTATATGGATTAACACCTCAACACGCAATAACTAACATTGTTTTTTCTACGTCCCATTTTTTAATGTTTACTACTGTTAAATTCAGCACTTCACCCTCAAAAAATATATTTAATAATATTTTATTCAATTTTATATTATATAATCTAAACACTGAAATATAATTAGTACCATGTAATTAAACATTACCTAATTTCATTCGAAGCTCAAATTGTTGCCAAAAACTTGTGGTGGTGTTAATAGTTTGGGTTGATAAATTAAAATGTACGACATGAATGATTTTCAGAGAGTTTTTCTTGCAATATAAATACAAATATGGAAGCTTCCATAAGCACGGAATTGATATTGATATTGCTTTTGATTTAGTTCTATGTGTTATTTTGATGCATTTGTTATATTTTAATCCCTTTTTATCTGATTTGTTGCTTTATTTGGAGTTTCCTTCTACAAAGGAAATTTCTGTAGAAAATGCCACCAATTCGACGCTGACATTTACCTCTTCTCAAGAAAAATCAAATATCTTGTGCAGTGGAATTTCACCAACTGATCAACTCAAGAAAAAATAAAATAAAATTCATAACTTATCTCAATAAAATATAACAAATTTATATCATAATCCCTCATGTATGAATACACGTTTATAAATTATTTATTCAAATGTTTTTATTCCAATATATTTGTCACTAAATATTCCAAGCTATTTACCACATCACATTATGAAGAATATCATTTTATTTATAGTTTTATATTTTTTAATTATTGAGTATTTGAGTTTATAAAATTTAACTTATTTTATTATTTCTGGGAAACTCATATTAAGAATATTCAGTTTTAAAAAAATGTCTTATATTATTTTAAATTTAATAGTTACTATTTTAAATAACTTAATAAAAATATACTAAATAGAGTACTTTTTTTGCATTATTATACAACAAGAAACAGTCACGTATGATCAGATTGTTAACTTTTTGCAATAATTGTAAATTAATGTTTAATTAATCAATAGTGAAATGTTTTTACATGTAAATTTGTACGATGGATTCTTAGGTAAAGGAAAATACTCCATGTTTTGAAGAAAAAAATGGAGTGTGTAGTTATGAAGAAGGAAGTAAAAATGATGATGTGGTGTGTGGTGTGGTTACGTTGAGTGTGTTTTGTTTCAGAAATGCATTGAGTGAGAAGGAGACAAAACATTAATATGGCCGGCACACTTGAAAGAACAAAGTCCCATGTTGTGTGCAACAAGAAACGCGCGTGAATTCAATCCAATTTAATCCTTAATAAATAAAAAAAGAAGAAGAAAAAGTGCACAAGGAAGAAAGAGGACATTTGTCCTAACCATTGTGAACTCAGCTTCTTGGACCAAACTCTCAACCGCTTGGACTATCTCCCAACCTCACCTCCTTCTCTCATCTTCTCTTCCTTTTTCTTTATCAATTCTTCACCCTTTTGCTGAAAGGGAGAGACAATCATGGTCCAATGATCCTGCCTCTGTTTCGAAGGTCATCAAAAACAAAAACAAAAACAGAACATGGGTTCTGCTTCAAGAGTTGGCAGTAGCAGCTACGATTACTACTTCAAGGTTCTTTTGATTGGTGATTCTGGTGTTGGCAAGAGTAGTCTTCTCCTCAGCTTCATCTCCAATTCTAACTCTATTAATGACCTCTCCCCCACCATTGGTAATTCTTTTCTTTTGTTTGTGTTTTGTGAATTTGGGTTCTTTTTTCTTCTTGCTTTGGAAAATGGAACGAGGTGGCGTATGATCATGCTATGTTTTTGCAAATTCAACACCTTTATCAAGACTTCCATCAAACAATGATGAGGGTCTCTTTGTTGAAAAGTTTTCATTTGACGTTTCTTTAAGTGTATCATAGAGTCATGCATTCTTCTGGAAACTATTCACCGAGTCAGCTTTCTTTCTGTTTTCAGATATATTTGGACTTTTTGGTCTTTTATACGTTTAATTCCAATTTGTGGTTCCTTCTCATTTTTTAAATCCGCATGTTCTTGCTGGACCATATGCCAATTTTGATTCCATGGATTTGGTTTGACTTGTGCCGGAGGAAAACTTTGATTAACCCATTTTTCGAACAACTCCTCTGAATTGTGAAAAGGAATCTCTTAGTCTCAGATGGTCTTCTTAGAATTGAAATTGGACTTGGTCATATCTTAGAGATGGTCTTCCTTTTTCAGTTTATATCTTTTTACTAATAGCTACAGAAGTACCATATTTTTACACTAGGTTTTCAAGAATTTTTTACATTACATTTCAAGATTTTGTGAAGGAAACTTTCTTTCCAAAATCTTGAAAAACAATGTGACATTTTTTTTTTAAATTATTTTCTGTATCTTATTTGAAAGTTTAATCAATTGATCCATTGCACACGGCTAAATAGTATAGTGAGGTGATATATTAGACCTTCCTTGTTCATAGTCTTTTATTTGTCTCTTACATTAGGTTGGTTAGCGGTTAATTATAATTCTGAGGCATTTGGCTTTGAAGTTTATACTTCCTATGTGGTTAAGTGCTTCATAGCATAAGGAATTTTGCAGAGTTATTTTTTGTGCCATCGCTCTGTTAAATACTGAGCTATTGGTTCTTGAATCATTTAAGGTGTGGATTTCAAGATAAAGTTTTTTACGGTTGGTGGTAAAAGGTTGAAGCTCACAATTTGGGACACAGGTAACAAGATTTTTAGTTTTTTATCATATTTTCTGTTTTATTTTGCTGAAGTATTTTCTCATATATATATATATCCAGTTAAGAATTTTCCTATTACTACCTCAATTTTCTATTCATCCGGGAACATTGTTGTGATAATTGTATTTTTCTTACTACATGGTCAAGAATTCAATCCTCAAGTTGTGTGTATGGAATTATATTTGTTGAGAGAGGTTAGTTCCTTAAACTAAATAGATTTCGGTATTTGAGGGATTAGTCTTTGACTTTTGGCAAAGGATTCTTTATAATATCAGGATTCTTTAATCATGATTGAAGCAATTTAAGTGCCTTGCCCCATAACATAAGGACAGAGTCATAAGTTTCTTGTTTGGATTTGAATATTGTCTGTTTCTTAAAACTCACATGAACTATGATACTGATGACTAATGACATTACAAAACAAAATTTGTAGGTCAGAGCCTGAGTTTTTATCTCTTCTTCCTCCCCTCTCTTCAATAGCAAAGCTTTCGAAGCTAAATTTAGTGACGCAAAACTTTAATCTTTTAGTGTATGTGCATTTTCTAGTCTAAAGTAAAGTCTACAGCGTGAATGTGGTAACATGAAAAGTTACTGAAAATCTAGATCTGATAATGACGAGTAATTAAAAGTTCCTACAACTAAAACATATATAGGATAAGGTTCCAGGGAGAAGAAGGTGCTATGGCGACCTTAGAAAGGTCTTAGTCAGTTCACCCCAAAAAAAGGTCTTAATCCTTTAGGATTAGATTCTGTCTCTGATTGCAGAAGAAGCTATCTTCTCCATTCTTTCAAGATCTATGGGGTACATGCTGATCACTATTACTTGCAAATTGAATTCTCTTTATATGAAACCTTGCAATGGTTTGACTTGTTGTGAAATGATCATAATTTTATTTATTTATTTTTTGCAGCTGGACAAGAGAGGTTTGGAACAGTAATAAGTTCTTACTACAGAGGTGCACATGGAATAGTTCTTGGTAATATATCTATATATAGATGACAAAAATTTTATTTAGATTTATCGCATTTAAATATGTATTGTTTTTAGGTTACTTTACAAATTACTGTGCATGTTTACACATTAGATGTCTTTTCTCTTCTTTTTAACCTATATTTAGTCACTCATAATAATATCAATCTTTATACGTTAATACAGAATGGAAACAATATACAGGCTATTGGTTGAAACACTTTGCATTGCCTCCAACCTGAACTAGTATTCAATTAACTTGTGTTTATTGTAGAGGAATGCTATACAATTGTATAATAATTATCAATCAATCACCACTAAATAAACTCCAAATAATGACCTAAACCAATACTCAGGCAATTACATTTGATTTTAGGGTCAGCACTTCCTAAATTCAAAGAACATTCCTTAATGGCTTTCTGTACTCTTTCATTGGTCAAGTTCTTGAAAATAATGCTTGTGCTTGCATTAATGTTGCTGCTCTCTTTATGCTTTTTGGTATTGCCTTTAGTGTTGACATCTAATAGCTTTTTCGTTTTCCCTTCTATTTTCTATTTAGTCTATGATGTGACACGACGCGAGACATTTACAAATCTCATTGATATATGGTCAAAAGAAGTTGAGCTTTATTCCACTAATCATGATAGCATCAAAATTCTTGTTGGCAATAAGGTGGATAAGGTAAATTTCAATGAGTTTTGCAGTCCTTTCCTTACTCAGGAGAAGACAAATAACTGATTTTGAAGTAATAGTGTGTTTTTGGAATTAGACGAGAAGTTCAATTTGTTCCTGAATATAATTTTCTTGCATTTCATTGTTGGATTTTGAAGACTATCAGTGATATTACTTTTCAGGAGAGTGAAAGAGCTGTAAGCAAAGAAGAAGGAATGGCTCTTGCACAACAACATAGATGCTTGTTCCTAGAGTGTAGTGCTAAAACTAGAGAAAATGTTCAGCAATGCTTTAATGATCTCTCATTAAAGGTATATATGATCATATTTGATATTACTTCTGTGGTGCTCTAGTTACTTCGTTGTACTCTTCAGTAGCAGTTCTCAATTTGTCACATGCTAAATTCTTCTTCCATTTAACATTTACAGATATTAGATGTGCCAGGTTTAAGGGAAAAGGGGTCTGTTGCAGTGAAAAGGCAAAATCAAAAACACATATATGAGACATCTCAAAGCGGTGGTTGCTGTTCTTAGTAAATATGCTGCACCATGAATGTTTGATAGATTTTTCAATAGGGATATACTATAGTTACTAGCAGGTCTTTGTATCATATCAAGTGTCACAATCAGATAGTTTGGATCTTCATATGCTTTTAATGTTTTTTCTTCCACCCTATTTCCATAACTTTCTCAAGAGGATGCTTGAAATGGATCTTGCCCTCTCATTATCTTTTGGAGCCTCTGTAGAACAAATTTTATGGTAGCCAAGATGATCACAAAGCTTTTCAATATATTGTGCTTTTTTTTTCTCTCTCTCATTTCTGTCATAAATTGTGGAAGCAGCGATGGTATTGTACATCTTGTAAATATATCTCCACTGTGAATGTATCAGGGTTGGTTAGGTTAGGATATTCTGCAAAATTATGTGTATTATTGGGTATGGTTCCCCCCCTTTATAACCTTGGATGAAAAACTATTTTGTATTGATATAATTTATCTGCATTGTTTTCAAACCTCAAAAAGCACTGAAAAAAAAAATTGATGCCTTGGTTTACTGTACAACTTTTTCATAACTTCATTCAAGCTTTTACTTGTTGTAAGGAAAGTTGTCATAACATGAAATGAAATACAAGTGTTGAACTGGGCCTAGTGAGTGATGGGGAGCAAAATTGAAATCCCTTGAAATGTTGATGTTCCTCGAATTATTAATAATAAAAATATTTTGTATTGCATTTTTTAATTTTAGTTTTTCTTTTAATTTTTCATCACAAAGTAATGAAATAATTGCAATTAATAAAAAAATGTTTTTTGGTAGTTTAGTTATAATGGATTGTAATAAAAAAAATTAACATGAATATAACAAGATGAGATAATATATAATAATATCGTTTTTATTGTTATTATTTTAAATTTAATATTTTTTGAAAGCGTTTATGTAACTTTTTTTATCTAATAATTTTGAGTTGATTTACATCAATTTCTAGTTTTATTATCAGGCTTAGACAAGAAATAGGTGTTTAAGCATGTTAATCATGATTCAATTGGTGATAATGATATTTGATTTCTTACATCACCAAGATAAGAAATATTATTGGATGTTTTAAAATGACATAATAGTGGATAAGATGACAAGAGTAGGAACAAAATGTAGGTCTGAAGAAGAACATTTGGGACGTTGGGATGTTACAACTTCTTTACGTGCACGTTGGGATGTTATCATACACACCATCGTTTACTATTTAATTACTAATCTATCAATATATATAATATTTAAATGTTAAATTGATTAGAGTTGTCTAGAGAACGTGGAATTAAGACAATTTACAGGTTTTAATTAAGAAAAAGTTAATTATTAAGTTAATATTTCAATTCTTTTACGTTTTTGATGAATTTAATTTTTTTTTAGAACAAATTAATTGTTTAAGTAAAAAAAAGAGATTTTTTATTTTTATTTTTGAAAGGAAATTCAAATAACTATGATTTAAAATATTTAAAAAAAATAAAAAATTTAAAATTTCCCTAGGAGAATCACTCATCTTTCTTCCTCTTCCATCTAAGATTTACTCACACCTTACTCTCTCATGAAAATATATATTTATTTTATAAAAATTATTGTAACAAAATATTTATATATTTTTTAAATTGTACCTAATATTAATTATTTAATTATTAAATATTATTTGAAATACTTAAAATTAAATAATTTCTATTTTTATAAAGTTTAACATTAAAATTTTATATTTTAAAATAAAATTTTATTTTTTAATAATTTTAATTACTTTATCCAACAAAAAAAATAAGATATTTAAATTATTAAAAAAACAAAATATTTTAAAAAATAAAAGTAATTTGATTACAAACAATTAAAATAAATATATTTAAATTTTTTGAAATTAATGAAATACCTCGTTCAAACTATATATTATGATATATTGTTATTTTAAATTACTTTTTTTTTTTTTAAGTTTGAGAATATACATTGTAAGTGTAAAAGATTTTACACAGTCACGAGCATAAAAAATCAAGAATGATTTGACTTTGACTGTAGAAGGAAAAGTTTAATTTTATAGAAATTTGAAGTTTGAAAAATAAATTTCTTGTGATTATAATACTTTATAGAAAATAACATCTTAAAGTTTTTGGAATAATTTTTCACCAAGTTGCTCACAAAAACATTTCTATGATAAAATGTGAATTTAACTTTCCCAAAATAAAATACTTTTTGTGAAAAAATATGATATTATTTTTACTAAATTCTTAATATGATAATAAAGATTTTAAATAAAAGTAATACATTATTATTTGCTTTTAAAAAACTTATTAAACTATCATATAATTATTTATAATTATTTTGATAAACTAAATATAATTTAATATTGGTAGGAATCTACTCTTCAAAATCAATGATTTTTCAGAAATCATGATTTTCAAGAATTATAATATCTGGGTTTTCTTAAACTTTTTTATTTTATTTTATGATACCAAACACTCCCTTAGGCTAATCAACATTTAAAATTTGAATATGGTATAAAAATAAATATTTATTTTATATTACTAAAAGTTATAATAAATAAATTTAAATATATAAATTTTATTTATAATTAAATTTTGTAATAATAATATATATTTTTAAGACTACAAAATATATTTTAGGTTTATGATAAATAATTAGTATAGTGATAATTTTATTTTTAATTATTGACAATGTATTAAAAAAAATGTTAAAATTCAATTTAGAATTAACTATATTGAAAATTATAAATTAAAAGGGAAATCAATTTAAAAAGGTTTCATAGTGGTACCCTCGTCCAATAAAAGTAGCTACAAAGGCTGTACTTATAAATTACAACATTCTTGTTTAATGCTAAATTCTAAAATAGTTTCATTCATAATGAAAATTCAGATTTGCAATACAAGGATAATTTATTCTGAGATAAATTAAATTAAATTATATTTATTTTTAATAAAACAATTTAAAAATTCGTAAATTCTAAACTTTAAACCTTAAATAATTAAAAGATTATATACTTTTCTATAAAATATGACTTTTTATTTATTAGAATATGTAAAAGCATAATTTCTCAAAACGTATTAGATTATCTTTTAGGATTAGTTTGTGATTTTTTTTTAGTATTAAGCAACAATGACAGATATTCATTATTGATTTTGGGGGCCAAATAATATATTATTAAAAAATAATAAATAAATATAAAAAGGGTGAAAAAAGATGAAAAAATGAGAGGATAAAATTATAAATGTACAAGTAAATATATAAAATGATCATTAAATTTGGGAGACAAAATCATAAATTATATGAAAATTACAAAACTGAGAAGAGACTGAGAGAATATACAAATAAATATATTAAAATTTAAAGCGATTAAAATCATAAATTACATAAGAGTTACAAAATTTTGAGGCCACCATCCCTCAGTTTCTAAGAAGATGTCCCATTAAGTATAAGTTATATAATAATAACTCGTCGGACAAAGGTAAATCAAGATGGAGGCAAGGTGTTGTTTCAGACGAGGATCTTGAAACATCTTAATTTTTTTGTTTTTCTTAAAAAAGAGATGATATCAAGCTTAGAAATTAGTAAATTTATCACATCAATCCAAATTTTTTATGAATAGACATTCTCTGGCCGGCTGGTCTATTTGAATTTAACAGAACTTTTCGGACTTTTCTTCCTTTAATGTTTGCAATTGATAAGTTCAAAGCTATTTAAACTGTTATGGCCTTGTTCTTGAAAGCCAACTAATAAGAGGCACTGATAGTCACATCCAAATCAAGAAACTGTGGTAGCATCTCCAATGGCTGCAGCTTTTGTTGGTCTTCAACTGAAACTTGCTACATGTGCAATTGTGCTGCTACCATTCTTAGTCACAATAGTCACTAGTGCTGATATATTTCTTGATTGGAACGTTTCCACTGACTTCAATTCAAAGCCTGTTTCTAGTGATCAACCTGTGGGCATTATATATACCTCTGATCTAGTCATCTTTTTATTTGTCTTAGTCATGCATTGTTTGCCAATTTTATTCCTCATATATTTGGCAGGTAATAACTATCAATGGCATGTTCCCGGGACCCCTTATAAACGCAACGACAAATGATTACATTCATGTCAATGTTTTCAATGGTTTGGATGATCCCTTGCTATTTACATGGTATTTTATACGTACTCCTGTCTCTCTCTCTCAATATTTACATGGTATTAATGGCCTTGACAAATACTCAATATTTTTACTATGTTGTATATATTTTGATTGTTTTGCTATTGTTTGTTTTAGGAGTAAGGTTAGTCTCTAAGTTTATAGAATTTTGATTTTGGTGTAGGAATGGTATACATCAAAGGTTGGATTCATGGCAAGATGGAGTTTCTGGCACGAACTGCCCCATTCCACCTGGCAGGAGTTGGACTTATGTTTTCCAAGCCAAAGACCAGATTGGCACATTCTTCTACTTTCCTTCCATCAATTTCCTTAAAGCTGGTGGAGGGTTTGGTCCAATTCGAGTCAACAATCGACCTGTGATTAGTGTTCCTTTTCCAAAACCAGAGGCAGAATTTGATATTCTGATTGGTGACTGGTACAGTGCCAGCTACAAGGTAACTAACTGACTGCTTTCTTGCCTTTTTACTATATATACTCACTTTTAAACAATGATAATATTATCCCTATAGCAATTTCATGGAATGCTACTTCATTTTCTGATCTTTAATTGGTTATAGTTTCTTATTTTGTATTTGTTTTTTGTTGCTGGTTATGAATATTATTTCGACCAGGATGTTAGGTCCAGGTTGAATACGACAGATGTTCTTCCCCCTGATTGGATGCTAATAAACGGCAAAAGACCATACATGAACAACTTTTCTCTATCATACGAGACCTTCAGTGTTACACAAGGTAAGAAGTGAATAGGAGAAGTTTTATGACTCACTCGTTATGATCATGCTGTATATTACATTAACACCTTTGTGATAATGTGTCACAGGAAAAACATACTTGCTTAGGATATCAAACGTAGGGACA